GTGATTCCCAGTGCCAACTTGTGCGTGTGTTTGTTTTCAGAGACCACCTCCAAGAGCGGATGTCCTGCAGGGACGTGGTAAGTAGTCTGCCTGTCGCAGCTTGGAAACGGCAGTTTCTAAGGCTACCTGTCCCTATACAAACCACCCGAAGGGCTGAGTGCTGCCCTGTGTTTATTGCATCTGGGCATAAGCTTCATGGGCAAATTAGCCATCAAAATCCTAACTGTAAGGCTTATTCTTCTAGGCATTTCTTTTCAAATCCCTGTTTCCAGGCCCATCTTAACAAAAGTAGAGGCCCTAGTGCCACTTAACGACTAACTAAAAGGTAGACAGTTTAAACCCACCAACCGCTCTGTAGGAGAAAGATGTGGCAGCCTGCTTCTGTAAAGATTTATAGCCTTAGAGACTCTATGGGGCAGTTCTACGCTGTCCTACAGAGCCTCTCTGAGTTGGAATCGACTTGATGTCAACAGGTCTGGTTTTTTTGTATTTTAACCCAGTCTTAGGAGACTCATCAGACAAGTTCCAGAGGATCATGACGGTTGAGAGTAAATAATAGCGAAAGGAGCTCTGTAGGGTGTGGAGGAGGCCTCAAGGCATTACTTCATTTTATTTAGAAGTGTGCAAAACCAAAAAGCAAGTTCAATGCCATCGGGTTGATTCTGACTCATATAGCAAGCCCTTTTGGGTTTCTGAGAGGGTAAATCTTTACAGAAGTAGATTACCTTCCGTGGAGTGGCTGGTGGGTTTGAACTGCCAGCCTTCTGGTTAGCAGTCAAATGCCTTAGGCACTATGCCACAAGAACATACGTTGGAGAAATGCCTTTTGTCATTTGAAGGTGTTTTTTTCCAGCTTATATCTTTTTTTCTCCTACCGCACATCTCCCTTCCCCACAGTTAGGGGTGGTGATGCCCACACGGGCTGTTTTCTTGATGACCAGAGACATCAGAGCTGCAGGCGTGCAGTTCTGTTCTGGGCTGGCGAGTGCTCACAGTGCTGCTGCCCAAGCTGGCAGGTGGGTGGGAGTCACTCCAGCCCCTGGCTTCCCAGCCCAAGGGGTGAGCCCCCATGCGCGTCGCTTTGCATTTCTAGGCACAGTGCTCCCCCAGAATGTGCAGGTCATGCCTGTATTTGTGACCAAACAGGAAGCCGACAGCCTCCGTGAGTTCCCAGTGGAGCCGAAGGCTGGGTAAGTGAGTGCACAGGTGCTGAGTCTTTGAGTTTGGGGACTCCCCTTACGCAGTTTATCCCAACAAGCCCCTGGCTCATCCCGTGCTTCCTTAGCTCCGTCTTCACAGGGCTCTGCCTTGTAAGGGAGCAGCTGGAAGGTCAGCCTAGTGACCAGAGCCAGCATGGCCTGGTGAGGTGGGTGTGGGCTTTTATCCCAGATCTGTCACTGATGAGCCGGGTGACCTGGCCGGTCTGTTTCCCTGCCTCAGCCTCAATTATTCCACCTGTACAGTGGACCCTTTAAAGTCTACTCCTGGGTTAGTTGTAGGTGCCCTGGTAGCCCAGTGGTTAAGTGCTCAGCTGCTAACCAAAATATCGACAGTTCAGACCCACCAGCTGCGCCATGGGAGAAAGATGTGCCGGTCTGCTTCCATAAAGATTACAGCCTTAGAAACCCTGTAGGGCAGTTCTCCCGTGTCCGGTAGGGTCGCCATGACTCAGAACCAACCTGACAGCAATGGGTGGGTTAATTGTAACCGTGGGAAATAGTATACGTATAGCACCTAGTGTAGGGCCTGACTCAGAATACCAAAAATAACACCAGACTCTCTGCCATCAAGTCTGAGTCTGACTCACAGTGACCCCTGCTGGGTTTCCAAGGCAGTAAATCTTCACAGATGTATATTGCCCCATCTTCCTTCCGCTGAGTGGCTGGTGGGTGTGAAGGGCCAGCCTTCTGGTTAGCAGTCAAATGCCTTAAGCACTGCACCACCGCCAGTGACTCGGAATAGACCCTCCAAACATAGGTGACTGACTCTTAGCTGTGTCTTTTCAGTAGATGACCCTGGTTGTCACTTGTGGCGCGGGGGCATTGCCTCGTTTTCACCCCTGTGGTTTGACCATGATGACGTCTTAGGCTCTGTGGCCTCAAACGCCCTTTCTCACTGTGTGACTGGGAGGGAAGCTGTAGTTCAGTTTCCCGTGTGGAGGGGCCCTTGCCCCGCCCCCAGGCA